CTACTAGCGTGGCACTTGTTACTAGTAGTAACAAGAAGCTATTAATTCAATTTTGATTTAAATTCAATTCTAATAGCTTTTTGTTACTACTAGCGTGGCACTTGTTACTAGTAGTAACAAGAAGCTATTAATTTAGTTTAGATTTAAGTTTAATTCTAATAGCTTTTTGTTACTACTAGTAAGGCACTTGTTACTACTAGCGTGGCACTTGTTACTAGTAGTAACAAGAAGCTATTAATTTAATATAAATTGAAGTTTAATTCTAATAGCGTTTTGTTACTACTAGTAAGGCACTTGTTACTACTAGCGTGGCTCTTGTTACTAGTAGTAACAAGAAGCTATTAATTTAGTTTAAACTTAATTTAATTCTAATAGCTTTTTGTTACTACTAGTAAGGCACTTGTTACTACTAGCGTGGCACTTGTTACTAGTAGTAACAAGAAGCCATTAATTTAGTTTAAATTGAAGTTTAATTCTAATAGCTTTTTGTTACTACTAGTAAGGCACTTGTTACTACTAGCGTGGCACTTGTTACTAGTAGTAACAAGAAGCTATTAATTCAATTTAAATTGAAGTTTAATTCTAATAGCTTTTTGTTACTACTAGTAAGGCACTTGTTACTACTAGCGTGGCACTTGTTACTAGTAGTAACAAGAAGCTATTAATTCAATTTAAATTGAAGTTTAATTCTAATAGCTTTTTGTTACTACTAGTAAGGCACGTGTTACTACTAGCGTGGCACTTGTTACTAGTAGTAACAAGAAGCTATTAATTCAATTTAAATTGAAGTTTAATTCTAATAGCTTTTTGTTACTACTAGTAAGGCACTTGTTACTACTAGCGTGGCACATGTTACTAGTAGTAACAAGAAGCTATTAATTTAATTCAAACTTAGTTTAATTCTAATAGCTTTTTGTTACTACTAGTAAGGCACTTGTTACTACTAGTAAGGCACTTGTTACTACTAGCGTGGCACTTGTTACTAGTAGTAACAAGAAGCCATTAATTTAATTCAAACTTAGTTTAATTCTAATAGCTTTTTGTTACTACTAGTAAGGCACTTGTTACTACTAGTAAGGCACTTGTTACTACTAGTAAGGCACTTGTTACTACTAGCGTGGCACTTGTTACTAGTAGTAGGGGCGTCCTTTCGGATCCCATCCGATGCGACCCAGGCCTTGGAGCGCGTCGAACCTTCTCAAGGTCCTCCACCGCTACCGATTCGACCTGGCGGCCGAGCAGTTCGCGCGGCAAGAGGCGCTTGAAAAAGCAAGCAAACAAGCAGTGTGTGCGTGTGTGTGTGGCATGGTGTGGCAGAGTGTGGCTTGGTATGGGGAAGTCTATGCTGAGATTGGCAAAGTTAATTTGATTTGATTTGATTCAGAATCCATCTGCTAGCCTAAGACATGCTCAATCAATCTCTTGAGTTTGTTGCATCCTTTTGCAAAGGAAGGTCGTCGAGGGAGTATTGTTTGTTGTCGCTCTCGGAGGAGATATGGTTCGGAGGTTTTAAGTGATAACTTAAACTCCGAGGCTGCATTGTGAGACAGGTGTTTGGAAGGTTTACAACCATCAAGAACCGACTGAAGAGGGATCATCCTAGTAATAGTGTGTAGATGCATGACAAATATGCCCCTCGACAGATCATCAAGTGATTGGGATTCACTTTGCAGCTAGATAGATGGATAATAATTGTTTGTGAAGCGTTTAGGACAAATGGGAACATTGGAGGTTGACATCACATGCTGCTTAGCTCAGACCTGAAGCTGAAAGTTGCCAGCCCAGGGGCTAGGTAATCCGGTTGTCGAGCTTCACCTGCTTGGGTACAAATGCCACGTGCTCCAGTGCATGTTTGTTTTCTTTGGGCGGATTTCTTAATGAAGATTGCATGCATGATCATCCAAGACTTGCAGGCGGCGTACAAGTACAAACGGCTTTGCCATGCTATGACCGAGAGTTGAAGCCAATAGCAGCAACAATTATTATGACATCATATGGCAATGACCATCGCAACATTGACAAGAGCAAGAAGAAGAAGAGAGAGAGAGAGAGAAAGAAAGATAGCAATGGCCTCCAACCTAATGGCAATGGACTCCAACAGAGAAAACCCGCTTACTTCGACGACTTTCAAAGAGTGCTGTCGAGTCTTGTCCACTTTTTGGGGTGCCGCGCAATGGCCAGCAATGGACGGTCAGGTGTCATGGTGGTTCCTCGGCAAAGTTCACTACTGTCAGTAGCGCCCTCTTGGTCAGAGAATGTTGAAGAGGTTTTCCAGAGGGATTCTTCAGTGTGAAAGTAGCTGGTGCAAATTTAATCCAAAGGCAACATGTGGAAAACGATCCAAAGACGGGAATTCCATTTACTTTGACATGGATGTGGTGCTTACAGTCAGCTTCATGGTCTTCAGCGTTCTTTGACTCGATCGCCTGTGAGACATTGTTGCGTTGTTAGCTCAAGGTCTGTTGTTCTTTGTTCTTGAAGGAGTTTGAATTATGTATATACCATGCATTTGGAAGCTTGAGGGTACAGCACTGTGCATAAATTCTGCAAACGAGTGAGAAGAAATAGAACCACATATGAAGAGACATACCATCCGGATCACGTCCTTTCAAGAAACCGCTCTTTTCCAATGATGACTGGTCTCAGTGCCAAACTTGCCCGTCTCCGTCGTGCCCCAGCACCTCCGCTGCCTGTGGCACCCTCCAAGGAGTCCCAAGCTGCTCGGCGACGAGCCTTTCAGGCGGAGCCGATGGGTTGGACCGGCGCGGAGGGCGCATCAGTTTGGAGATCACTCGGTGGTAGTGGTGTGCTGTATCACTTTTCTCAGAAAAACGAATGGTCTATAAAGGTCTAAAGGTCAAAACGTGACCCTCGTCTAAATCGAACATGCAGGGTACACATGGAAGAGTTGATCAGTCATGCGAGTTTGAACAAAGAAGGCTAAGGTTGAATTCTGAAGTTCAAGTTGGTCGCGAATCTTTCGCTTGGTATTTCGTTTGTTCTTCGTGCTGTTTCGTGCAGACAACATCTCTCCGGTCTCCCTGTTTGTGAGGCCTACTTTGCAGATGAAGGCAAATGTGTCGCTGTGCAGCGCGTTTGAGCGGCCGTTGAATGATTTTTATGCGGGAACACGAATGGCCGACAGGTCACTGGTGGAGAAAAGAATTGATGCCCTTGGCTCCGTTCGTAGCGTTCTTGCTCCTAGTAGCGATGCCAGGAGCCTTTAGTAGCGTCCTTCTGTATAGAACATGGCGCTTCAGGTGTTTTTGATATGAGGATTGTGACAGGCCTAGATTCCTAGATGTTGGGGATCCCAGCATATCAAATCCAGTGTGATTATTTTTTTTTTAAAATTTGTTCTTGGATTGAAAGAAAATCACTTCTTTTTTCAATTGCTGCACCTAGTTGAATGTTTGGTCCTTGTAGCTGGGGTTCTTCCACATGTGCAATCTTCGAATAGTCCGACTGTCCACACGTTTGTGGGCATCCGCACCAATGATCCTTAAATGGAGAAACACTCGTTTGTAGATGATTGGTTCCACATGGTTGGATCTGTTAAGTCAACATCAATCAAGAGCTGTAACTCATCAAGTATATATTAGATGGTTAGCCGAAATTCAGGAAAGTAGATTGCTTGACCAAGTGGATACAAGTCGATGGTGAGGCATTCATGTTTGCCTACTAGGGCTATGCATTCCGCCGTGGGCCACAGGGCATTGCACCACGAGCCAGTGCGACTTCTTCCAGGCACTGTGCATGGCGGAGAAGAGGTGACAGGATGGAGAAGGGACTATTGTTAGCCAAGCTCCTTGAATTGTAATGTAAAAAGGCAGCAGCGTAAGCAGTTCTTTTGTGTGACTCAGACATGGCATGTTGTCGTTTGGTCCACAGGATCTGCATGTGTTTCCACTGTTCATGATGGAATTTTGTGGATGTCTGAAGGTTTTACAAGAACACCGCAGCAGAACTCATATTACAAGAGTCTTGAGTGTTTTGGAGTGTAACATTTGGTGGGTAGACTACCTTGGGAACTGACGTCGGACCATGCCAAACGGGAAAAGGACGGTGCCCGGATTGGTTCCGGGGAAGGGATTGAGCAGAAAATGCTTTGAGCGGCAAACCACGTGTCCCGAGTTTGAGGATCAGCCCTATGCGGCATATGCGGTGTAAAGAATAAGCTGATCAATTGCACCCAAACGTAAAGAACGAGGCCAGTGCCCGCCGTCACATGTTGTTTTTGAATTTGTGTCCGGTTCTATGCAACACCTCGCCTGGAGGAATGCATTGCCAAATCTAATGAGTGGTTGTGCTTTGTCACGAACCATCACGAAGGTGAAATGTGTTTGTTTTCCTTCTCTGGCTGAGGTGCCGCGGGCTCGTGTAAGGGAGCCAAGTTGGAAGACACAAACAAGTCAGCGATCAGTGAAATGGCATTCTAGAGGGTATGTATTTTGGTTTTGGGTTGAGATTGTTATCGCAATTCTTGAGTGGAGTCAGGCGAGCGTTGACACATTTAGATGTATTCTGGGACAATTGGGCATGTATTTGTTGGGTTGGTACACTGAATTGCTTCCTATCTTGTCTTCGGCTAAAACAAGAAGTTCACTGCTGATGTGAATACAGTATTTTGGATCTTCCGGTTTCAAGGTTGTTCCCTGAATCAAATCCAATTCTCGACTAACTTGGGCCTCCAGCTAACTGACGGGTCTTGGTCTTCACTCGCGCGGACCCCCCCCCGAGTCGTAGAACACCCAGTGGATTGACCCAGGAGTTCTCGGTGGATCGGATGCAACGACCGGTGGTGGTCAGGTAACCCGGTTCTGAACTGCAACGGCAAGACACATGTTTGATCATGTTTGAGAAGCGGGAACACAGCGATACAAAGCGACTGAGATCCACGTGGCAGGGTGTTCATTTCCAGCTGCTTCCAGACTGACTTTCTCAGCAGAGTTTCTTCTTTAGCAGGATGTGGACAGGGCAGGACTACTCGAAGTTGAACTATGACCTTCTGAAGCAAACCAGTCTTCCACTGCACCAAGCAGATATCCGGCCTGAGGCCTCTTCTTTCCTTGGGGCTATAGAGGTGGCTTGAGGGGTGGAGGAAGGTGTTCAAGTTTCGGAGATACTCATCCACAGCCTAGATCACATACAAATGCACCATTGGCCTTTGTCTCTTATTTTGGTTGAGCGAATATAGCCCGTACACAGACCTAACACAGCTTTGTGGCTTTACCGGTTTCCTTTGTCCGTCCAGAGCGTGTAGGCAAGATCGTTGGACTTGCAGGCATGGTGTTTTCACGAAAGGTAGCCTCGGCTACCTAAGTTCTCCTTGCTTTAGCAAGATGATGTAGGGGAGTGGAAGACTCCACTGCCTGATTTATATAAGTATTGTGTTTTGGAGCTGAGTATGTGGGGCTTTGTTAGAACTCAATCACTGCCTTCGAGCGTTACCTCCATTAGCTCCGGATCCGTTAAGTCCCATCCTCCAATTACCTCCCTACCACCAGAAGCCTCGGCTTGATTTGCGCTGCCTTTGACCCTGCTTCATTGCGTGGCAGCTCCATTTGCGCAACCCTCCCAAAACTGTTCGAAAACCAAGGGCTGTGCAGGCCAAACTTATATAAGTATTTTAGGCTATTTTAGGTATATAATTCTGTCTCATTTCTCCATGGTCTTCCTGCTTTGCGCCTGCTGGTCTGCTGCTGGCTGGTGCTGGTTTGCTGTTGCTGCTGTTTTGCTGCTGCTTGCTGCTAACTCCTCTTCAGAATCTTCCAAGCTCTACCTGTTGTCCACCTCATTTGCCTCAAGTCTTTTTGGAAGCAATAATAAGAAAAGCCAGCATTCTTGTTGCTGTTGATGTTGCCGTTGGTTGGTTTTGTGAGCTGGTTGTTCAATCTGGATCCTTTCAATCCTAGATCTTGGGGCCCCCTGCAATGATCGAGGGCCCCCCCTGAGAAAAGTGGAGATTGCCTCTTCCAAGGTTGCTGGATGGGCAGGATATGAGTGATGGGCCGCCAGGCACCGGCTGCATCATCCACAGTGAGAGTGCTGACAGCTGCGCCTCCTTTGCGGAGTTCCTTCACAATGTGCCCCGGCAGAAGCGTTCCACCTTGAGATGCGGGCAATTGCCGAAGTGAATCCACATGTCATTTGTAGAATAAACGTTGCATTGATGTGTTGGCTGTTGCGTGGAAACTCACTTGGCCCCTAAACACAAGCTCTAGCTTGACAGCCACCTTGGGCGATGGCTGTGCTGCATTCATTCTGGTGGGAAACGGCGTCGAGAGCAGCCATCACTAGCTATAGCATAGGACTGCAGCAGCGCTGCTGCTTTGTTTAGTACATTGAGGCTTGGCCCCTGAATGTAGGTCGTGGCAGCCGTGTTGCGACGGTTTCGACAGGAACGTTCGCGTCTTGTCCTTTGAGGGGGCGACGGGCTGCTCTCAGCTTGAGGCCGTACGTTGTCCTCTTGAGGGCGTGCAAGCGTAGAAACACTTCGAACCCGATCCCATTTAGCGAGGGGTAACCTGACCCTGCTTACCCTGGAGGCGCCGTTGAGATGTTCTGTAGGTAGTGCTTCTTTTCTAGTTATCCTGATTGGGTTACTTACAGTATATTAATGTGTCTTTTCTCTGCTGCCTTTCAGTGTGTAGATGGTTGGATGGTTCCATATCTGAAAAAACCGTCTTCTCGGAAGCGTCAGGGACACTGATGCACTTCTTGACTTTGGCATCGTCTCCATGCCCTTTTCTCTTCATATGCAGGCATGCTCACGACGCACTAGACTTTTTTTCAGGAGCAATCATGTGCTCAACTGATTTGAACACATTGGAAGCAAGCAAACATTGATGTCGTGGAACGCCTTCCTTGCCATGAGCGGAAACACCCCGCTAGATTCTAGATGTGAGCAGGAACACCGCTCATACACATACAAGATGAAGACTTGTCCTTTACAAAACGAAAGGCCAAAGCAGATTACGGCATTTTGATTTTTTTTTTCCACCTTTTGTTTGCCACCAGAAAATCTCAAATAAAGGATGCAATGCCTCTCCAAATATTTTTGGGTGATGTCTGAGGATTCCTTCCTCTTCGCAGTCGCGTCCAACTCTCACTCTGAACCACCCCTTTTTGTTCGTTGCTCCTGCTCACCGACAACTTCAGGGGCAATCATCAGGAAGAGGACAATTTTTGACAATTTGCAAATATCAATCAGCTCTGAAACAATTCGGGAACTCCCCACTAACATGCTGAGAGCTTCAGACATCATAATATAATGTAATATATCAACAAACCCTGCGCAATGAACACGTCCACTCCAATACAACTCCATGAGCGGAGACACCGCTGAGAAGAGAACATGTCCTGGTTTCTTCTTCCACCAAAGCTTCATCAAAGCTTTTTTTGAAGGTAAAGACAAACGTATTCCTTTTCTTCTACCTGTGGAGACAAGACATTTGGTAGCAAAGTTCAAACTTTTCATGAAATTTGGACACCATGCCGAGATGGAACCTTTTTGTGAGTCCATTCTAAAATCTTTTGGCATTCGGAAGAGGAATGTCGACTCTCTCAAAGTGAAGGTCGGAACAAATACCTAGAAACATGCAGCGCAGAGGATCTTGTGGTCAGGCGGTTTCGTTGTTGTTTTGTTTCGCAAGCTGAATTTCCAAGCTGTGTCGCTTGTTGTGTAGCTGCGAATTGCTGGGATCGACGGCTCGACATGACCCCAACTCCACTACTCCAAGATGTCGATTTGAAAGTGTGAAACGCGCAGCCGTATGCCATCGATATCGCTAGTAGATTGGAGCCCACTGCTAGTAGGTTTGAGGTCATCGCTAGTAGATTGGAGGTCGCTAGTAACTAGCAGGTTGGAGGCCGCTAGCTTGAGGAGGGCTTTGGATCCATCCTTGAAGTTTGAGGTACCACGGCGACTTCCGGTCCGAGTTGTGCAGTGATGGTGAGGCCATGCGGATCGACCCTGAGGGCAAACCATACCTGGCGCCTCGATTGGAAGACGCTAGAATGACGAGACAGTTTGTGGGGTGTGCCATGATGGGTGTGAAGAGAACCACAGTTCCAGTGCTGAACATTTGGGGAACACAGTGGAGAGTTTCAATTGTTTTTTGCCTCCACTCTTGTCGAGGTGAAGGAAGGACGGGGTTCATGTTGGGGCCGTTATATATATAGATGGATTGATTAGAGGAGACGAAAACACATGAAATAATAGCGCTCTGAAACCCATCAGGGGTGTAGAATGAAGTAGTAACAAGAAGCTATTAGAAACAAGTGCCACGCTAGTAACGGGTGCCTTACTAGTAGTAACAAGAAGCTGTTTGTTGACCATATTGCAATGGTCAACCGGTCAACTACACATTTCGCATGCTGCTTGGGTGCACGGGCCATTGGGTCTTCAGAGGCGTCAAGGACCGGGTGAACATGTGCCGTTAGCTTTTTTGTTAGTAGCTTCTTGTTCCTAATAGCTTTTTGTTCCTAGTAGTAAGGCACCTGTTACTACTAGCGTGGCACTTGTTACTAGCAGCGCCCTTTGCTCCTAGTAGCTTCTTGTTCCTAGTAGGCTAAGGCCAGGAGCCCCTAGTAGTAGCGATGCCAGGAGCCCCTAGTAGCGTCCTTGCTCCTAGCTGGCCTTTTTTGTCCATTTTAGACCGTGACACAAAGTTCCGAACTCAAGTCCCAAATTCTGTGTCCGCCCAACAGGTTTCCCATCTGCACAAAATACTTCTCACCCGGACAGATGTTTTAAATCTATTTGTTGAGCCTCTACCAAGGGTGTTCAGTGCCTGTGGTCATGGGAAGGAATGAGTGTTTTGTGTAAGTATTACATAATAATATACATATCAATTGGCTGCATCGTTCAGCTTCCATCATTGGACAAAAAAAACGAACACAACATCACGAACGAAGGATGCATCCTGCGGCGTCAAGCAACAGTCAAGCCATGTCAAGCCTAAAGCCCCCCACTGCTACTGGGTGCTGTTCGGGTAGATGTTTGAGTCATAGTCTAGGGGGGCTGTGTCAGTGTCATACATACATTTAGAATATACTGTATATAGCATGCACATACTAGGCCTAGGCAGAATGCACTGTCGTAACCCTGAAATCAGCCTGACATCTATGGAAAAAGATTTCTTTGAGCGTTTGGAGATCCCACAGGGCAATGGCTGTTCCATCTGAGGTGGACACCCAAGCTCGACATGACGTTCCGGTCTGAGAGGATTAGGGCGGGTTTGGAGGCAAATCAAGATCGAGCAGTTTCTACCTAAAGTAAGGTTTGTTGTTATTCCCCCCCCTTCCGATAGTCACCTATTGGAAAGTAGAAAAGAGTTGAATGGTCAATTAGAAGACAGGCCGTGACTCAGGTGGCCAGGCAGTTCATGAACGGCTGTGGTTCTTTTGTTTCGCACAATCCTGACCAGGGACACTGAGGTTTGGGGCGTTGATGTTGCTGGATTCGATTCACGAGAAGCCTGTGGCATAAGTGTTCTTGTTGTTTTATTTTCCCGGGAGCGTTTGCGAAGGGTTCTTCTGTAGAAATCTGTTGTTGCGTAACACGTTTGCATATCAATACATTGGGATTGTGCTAGATTATAAGTACATCTGCAGCTTGCATGCATTGCAGGCGTGGTCTACTAGAGGTGCTGCTACGGAGGTGGTAATGCATTTTCGACTTATATAGCTGCATTTGTAGGTATGCTGCAATAGGTATGCTGCAAATACATCTGCAGCTTGCAGGTAGGGTTGTTGTGTAGAGTCGCTGCTACGCTAGCATTGCTTTCGTGCCGGGATCTTGCTTTGGTGCTGGGATCTTGCTTGGATAATTTTCGCTAGGATTTGGCTTAAGTAAAGTCATATGCAAAGTCAAGTATAACTGTTGCTGGGGTCTTGTTTTTTTTAATGTGATATGTGTCTGAAGATATCTTCCACAAGTTTGAGAAGTTCAGGCGAAAGCCGCTGGAGTCAAAGCCCGTGACTATCTGTGTGATCGCAGGTCCCCGCGTATGTCGCAACGAACTGGGATTGAGGTCCAGCTGGACTTCGCCTTGATGATCGCTTTGGTGATCTTCGTCGCTGGGCGGAAGCTTTGTGTTTCACGCAGCTGTTGTGCTGTGCAAAGATGTGAGAACACGTTGGAGCGCCTGGAGAAACCTGTGGAGCAGATTGCGTGCATTTTGTTGCGAACACAGTCACACATTTTTGACAGAGCGGAGACAAAGTTTTTCATGGGGCCCAAACTAGGATCCGGAATAGGTGATGTTTTGGTGGTTTCTTCAAGTGAGTTTGGTGGTTTGGTGTAGCCAATGTGGATGAACCAATGAGAACAAATGGTTGGGAACATCAATGCCCTGAACACATTACAAGAGGTTCTGAACGTTCCGCGCACCAGGTTGAAAGTTGTGGGATTGATAGACTCAGTCGCCTCCCCATGAGGGCCACAGCTTAGGGGTTTTGCGTTTTCGTGGCGGTTTGGCAGAGAAAACGACCAAAGTGCACCAGGCCCAGGTTCGATCGGTTTAGGTGGACGGGCTCGATCAGGTTGGAACTGCAGTGGCGGGCGTCACTTTCGGGATGAATCAGGCCGACTCACGGCTTGCGGGTGGCGTATGGTGGCGTACGGGGTGACAGATTTGTAGGCAACTGGTGCGAATGCGACGTTTCGAGAGGGCGACGTTTTCCCTTTTCTGCTTGTCAGGCCAAGAATCGTGAGGCGCGAACGCGCGCGAATCCACTTCGGCCTCCAGCTGTCACGTGGGTGCGAAAGTTAAATGTCAAGAGCTCCTAGTACAGTAAGTAGCTTCTTGTTACTAGTAGCGATGCCCTTGTTCCTAGTAGCTTCTTGCTCCTAGTAGTACGGCCAGGAGCCCCTAGTAGCGTCCTTTGCTCCTAGTTTGTTTCGCGACTTCAAGCAAAAGGTGCAGGAAATGGTGTGTATTCTAGTGGTTTCACAAATTATATAGTTGCATCGATAAAGCTTGACGGGTAAATTGGAGTCTGGGACTCTTCCAAATCGCTTTTGGGGTCAAAATTGAAGAAACACATACTATGAATCATGACACATATGTTATATTTAGGTGGAGGCCATTGCTATTAGGTTGGAGGCCATCGCTATTAGGTTGGAGGCCATCGCTGAGGTTGAAGGCCATTGCTATTAGGTTGGAGGCCATGGCTATTAGGTTGGAGGCCATCGCTGAGGTTGAAGGCCATCGCTATAAGGTTGGAGGCCATTGCTAGTGGGTTGGAGGCCATCGCTAGTGGGTTGGAGGCCATCACTATTAGGTAAGGTTGGAGGCCATTGCTATTAGGTTGGAGGCCATCATGACACATTTGGATCAACAGCATCACAACATCAACGTCCAACTGTCCCCGGAACGCACGGCCGAGCTTCAGCCATCAGGCCTCCGCAGGCTCAGAGGCCTTTGACGCCCCGGTAGCCGCTGTGGCCGGTGCTGGCGCTGTCGCATCGCCTGCGGCGAAGACAAAGGCGAAGGCCGACAGACTCAAGGGCCATTGAGCAATGGGTTGCTTCTTTGGGGGTTGCTGCTGCAGTTCCCCACTTATTACTGTAGTGGCTAGCAGATGTGGCAGGCAACAACACTTTCTAAAACTATTCTACCACATCTATTGTCTTTGCTAATTTCTCTTTCAAGAACTTCGTTACTGTTAGTTTTTTTTGTTCCCATACTGAATTTCAAGTATGAAACCATGTAACATCAAGTATAATGCCTGGATCAATCTTCTAAAAGGCCAATTACCTGTTACATCAGTTTGTAGCCAAATAGTTTGTGCATGGTAGGTTGTAGATAGACCATAAATATTAGGAACAGTTTTGCTATTTTTCCTTATATGCATTGCATTAGTGTATTGTTTACTCTGGATTTCTTCTTGCCATCAGTATGAGCTGATAGCTCCACAATTTGAACCTCAATGATGGTATCAACTAACACGTTGACTTGACCATTCTCAACATGAGAGAATTGTATGCAAACGTCAACACCTCTTTCAAATGCTTCATTTGTAAGTACTGAAGAACGCTACTAGGAAGCATAACAGCTCCTGAAGACATTACATGACTCTCAAATCAACAACGTACATTACAAGGGATATGATATAGACGTTGCATTGCTAGGCTACTTTAGATACACATTGTAGGGACCTTGGTTCATTCGACTAACAAATCACACAAACTTCAAAAGAGACTAGGTATGACACAATTCTTGCCCAACTTCATGTTTTGCCGTGTTTTGCACGCTATGTGCTGCTTTTACTATGTCAGGCACACTAATCTTGTAACTTCCGCAGCAGCTCTTACAACATTAGTGTTCAAAGACAGCCACATTGCAGCCACATGAAGACATCAGCACCAATCATAACTTCTCCAAGATAAATAGATGAATGATTCACACATGTCGGATCCAAGTATTAATCGATTTCGTCATTTAGACATCATACTCTTGCTATCAAGCGTCTTAAGTATGTTCAAACGCATATCAAAATCAATTAACAAACAAACTCAAACATACCAAAGACTCAGCTTCTGCACCCCTGAGTCCCTGAGAACTAACTCCATCAGTGCTTTAGCTTTGAATCAGCTGACAAAGGAATAGCAGTATTTTGTTGATCATCATGAATCAGGCCTGTTCTGCAGTTCATTCTTCATAATAAAACAATGCGAACTTTAGTATCTTCAAAGCATGTCTGCAAGCCAGTACAATATGCAACCAAGAGGCCTCCAGCATTTTCGACTCCATGGTACTTAGGAGTTTTGACCAAAACAGTTTCACTGAGTTTCACTGAGTTTGTTGGATTCGAAGTTCCACATTTCCGTCAAAAGCAAGTTCAGCAATCTTGAATCTGGAGGGAAATACTTGCAACTAGTGGCAAGCATGGTGGGATTCAAGACGCGCGATTTCAGCAAAACGTTTCCCAGGATTTTGATTCTTGAATCTTCAATCCAGAGGCAATTGCAAGTTGCATCTATTTGCAACTACTCGGCTCCAGATTCAAGATGCGAAGAACAACCTTTCCAGCAATCTTGAATCTTAGATTCTTAAATCTTGAAACCAGATGCCAGTCACCAATCATGGAACGACAAGCACACATGCATGCAAGGTTGGTAGCGCTACCGTGTATATACTTATTATGTTATATACACAATATATATTGGGAAGACTTGTTTTGTTTGATTGTTACCAGAATAAAGGCAACGTTGACCATCTTGAAGAAAATCATGTGGTTGAAAGCCCAACACTTCACGTGCTGTGTGGGTTTTGACAATGAGGATTTCTTCATAGACCCACATGCAACCCTTTTAGCGAGATCAAACAAAGTTCTGTTGTTCCGCGGTGAGATCTGACACCTAACAGCGAAACGTTTGCCGTGCCGCATCTCAAATGTGGACCTTCCAGGCGAAGCCCAAGCCAAAGCCGAAGGTGAGATGAAGGGTGTGGGGTGGGATGAACACGAATGTCATCCACAACCTTTGAAGATACACTCTTTCACCGATGGCCTCCAACCTACTAGCGATTGGATACACTCTTTCATAGGAATCCGTTTGGTTGTTCATAACTGCCATCGCCACAGTTGTCAACCATGGTCAACCTACTGCAGGTTCAGGCCAGATCTATGGTCCCTTTCAAAAGAATTGAAAAGCAAGGATGCTCTCCACCCAACTGCCTTCACATAGGCAGCAGTCTTTTTCAATGACTCTATAGGACCAGTCTTTTGGGTTTACAGTCCCAGCAAGTCTCGCCAAGGTTGGGAGAGCTCAAGCTCTAGAACATCACCGTAAGAGTTTGGAAGGTATGAAAGTCCTCCACCCTAGTAGCGATGGCCAACCTACTAGCTTCTTGCTACTAGTAGTAATGGCCTCCACCCTAGTAGCCATGGCCTCCACCCTAGTTGATGTGAAGGGCAATTCGTTAGGTCCTGGACCTCAGAAACCTCGCTTCCACTTGCTAGATAAGACTGGTCAGGCGCAATCCTAGCGCGACCAAAGCTTTGCCGCGCGGAGAACCGGGACACGTTGGTGGGAAATGCAGAAAAAGAGGCCGCGGGAAGGCAAAGGAGAAGTTGGGGAGCGGAAGAATTTTGGAATGGCCAGACCAGAAGAGCATTTAGTCGCTGAGTGAACATAGGGGCCCATTGCCCATGTTGACAAAAGTTAATATATCTAACGATATTCAATGTGGATTGAAACTCCATCGAAGTCTAGTCCGGATTCATTCTCAACCCCAGACCTGATGAGCCAAGACCGAGATAGAAGTTCAATCATTCCAAGTTGTGCACTTTAAACACTTTTTGTTGCACCCGTTTGACGCAAATGAAGCAAACAGCACCGATTCGCAGCTTGGCAAACATTCAGCAAAGATCCTTCGTTCGCTCATGTTCCTCTCTCGCTCCCTTTTGTTGTTCGATAGTGGTTTGCCATCAGTTGCTTCATGCGGCTTTGATATAGGGATTGTGGGCTCCAAACAAGTCATCGAAACGATGAGAGGATTCCCGAATCGGTGTGTTCCAATCTGAATCCGCAAGAACATTTCAACCGTGAAATTGTATATCAGGAGTTCGGGATGTGCATTTGATGTCAAATGTTCAAATCCAAAAAGGTCAGTCGACTGAACTAGCAACATGTTCGTCATGTTCAATGAGAACCAACGACAGAGGTACTCAGAAGTATATTTATAGCGTTTACAGCAGAGTGTCGTCCACACATACAGAGGCGACTCTTACAAAATGACCAACATGATCACTTCCCAAATCCTGAAGGGCCACAAGATGCATCCAGCCACAGCGATTTTTATGGACAGCGGATGGACTCGGAGGCAGGACCTGTCCGATGGATTCCGATGGAGTCAGCAGTTGCTTTTCGCTTCTCAGTCTAATCCAAAGAGCTATCGTTTTTGGGTGGTTGGATTAATAAGTGATATTACAAAGTAAAGTCTATCACATGTATATATGCAGTCGTTTTGTTTGGTACAGGTTGCTCGAGCCTCGAGCCAATGCAAGAATACCGTGTTTGTTCACAGCACTATATATTAGGAACAAGTGCATCGCTTCTAGTAACAAGTGCCTTACTAGTAGTAACAAGTGCATCGCTAGTAGTAACAAGAAGCTATTCATATTTATTTATAATTAGGATCGTGCACTCCCCAAGTCTGGACGGGCGACATGTCCGTCATGCGAGGTCTCATGGGCAGAAAAGGCCTCCTTGAGCTCGGCCAGGCCTTCCTCTCTATTTTTATCTTTCTCTGGCTCTTCCTCTTTCTCTCTTCTCTGTCTCTTCCTCTTTCTCTTCCTCACTTCTTTCTCTATCTCTTCCTTTGATCCTGTGTCTCTTTTTTCTGCATCTCTTCCTTTTACCCTGTCTCTTTCTCTTGCTCTTTCTCTGGAAGAGGAAGAGAAAGAGAGTAAGCAGAAGCAGAACATGCTAATACTGCAAGGCCACTCGGGCAGCATATCTCACACCACGGGGCCTTGAAAACGACCTCGCATCCATCATCATATCCGAAACTAATATGTTGACACATCTTACATCATTTCGACAAACTTCGACAAACATGCATCTTTCTACGCTCTCCTTTGTGGCCTGCGAGGTTCCAGGTGCCGCATAGAACATCCCCGCTCGGCCTCCGGTGGGAGGGAGCGCCTCCAGGGCGTTGGCGTTTTGGCGTGCTAGGTGAAGCCAAGCATGGAATGCAGCCAATCCTTTCTGTGCCACCAAGAAGAGAACACACGGACTCTGGCGGCGCGGTGCCCTGCAAGTTTCTGCCTCTTAGGCCACACACCTTTGACCCAGCAGCAACATGCCCCCGGACTCAATCCACAGGGGTGAGGGGGGAGTCGAACCCGGGGCCAAATCCTGGCCAATGCTTTTCCCGCAAAAAATCTTGACGGTCACCATGAACTAGAATTTAAAGGGTTGGTCAATTTGTCAATTTTGTTGCAGATTGTGTCAATGTGATGGCGGAGTAACATCGCCCACCGCTCACCGGAGTCCCTCAACAGGAACACGCCGACCCCGCTCCGCTCACGCTCACGTTCGGCCTGAGCCGCAAGCCACTGAGGTTCATGTTTGGTTTTTTGGTATGTGCAATCTTTCTTTGTGGGCAGACTGTGCCATACTTCAGAGCCCCCCCTTTTGTTATTACCTTACGCGGCTCTATCATGTGACCCCAGAGCAATGCAACCATCGCGTGCAGCCCACACTTGATCAAGATCAAGGGACCGAAAGAATCTACGCCAGATGGGTTTTCAGGAGGTAATCAGTGTTTAGCGCCTGCAGGTGGCACACGTCATGTGTAGTGCGGTGCTGTTTTGGGAGGCCAAGCACTGCAGAATTGGGTGGACGAGGCCTTCAGAGCAGTGTTCAAGACTGCCCAACATGAACTTGAAGTAAGGTCAGGTCAACCCAAAAGAAACACACACCAACAAACAAATAACGTGAATCCGGCACCCAACTCTGCCCAATTTCAGTGTTTCAGGGATTCCGACGCTGAGATGTGGAAGGGCTATGAACTACACTCCAATCCCAAACTTTATGTCCTGACCGTGTTGCTACAGATCCGCTACAATAGAATGGAGTGGCGAACGGCCAACCTGTTTGTAGGGCTGTACAATGATAACTGAAGCAGAGGGCCAAGACAGGACAGGCAGTTTTTAGATAGAGGACATCCCTTTTCAATGTTCATAATCATGAGCCTTTGCTGCTTCAGCAGTGCAAGTTGCCAAATGTCAAACATGTGTTCAACCAGCTTTAGTTTACCTTCCAGATTGCGCTAAAGTCCGGACATCTTCAACTGTCGTTTGTGGAGCCAAACAGGCCGAAACACTTCCTTCACAGGGTCTACGCATGAACACTGACCCGCTGCGGCTTTGGACAGCACACAAATCTGGGCTGTTGGGCCTGGGTTTGGGTGGCTTTGACAGCACAAATCTGGGCTGTTGGGCCTCGGTTTGTCAATACAGTATTTTTTTTGCATACAACTCCAGATTGAAACAATACAAGCACTTTTCGGGCCTTGGAATCTCATTGGACCAATTCTTTCGGGCACAAGGTCCAATTCTTGAGGCGCAAAGAAGCCATGGCCATCATTTTTGTTGAAAAACATATGGTCAGCATCGTGTTTAACGGTCCCTTTCCGCTGGAGACTCCCCACGCCCCACGCGGGGCAGCGGCGCCGCCATGGAAGCGGGGGCGCGAGCGATCGCGAAAGCGCTGGAAGAAAGTGTGGCGTGGCGAAAGAGGAAGAGTTGGGTCAGCAGGGTGGGTCATGGGGCTGTGGACCGATTAAGATCAAATCAGAGATGATGTGTTTGAAACCTGGGATCTTCAGCTAGATGAAGATGTGTTTGGGGTTCCTGTTATCACCCAAACGGTTGCGGTGTTGTGTTTCTTTTGGGGTTGTCTTCTGCGCATGTGACCTCCCAGGTGCAGCAGATCGTGGTCCTGGCGCCCGACCGAGTCTCCCAGGACGGTGCCGAGGCGCTGGGGAAGTCCGATTGGAAACGAAAAAAAAACATCAATACATAAGACAAATAAGACGAAAACAAGTTGATCATGTTTTCTTTTTGTTCGATTTGTTTCCCGATTTCCTCATATAGAATGCTGATCATTGGGATTCGGAGATGCTTCACGTCTTGGTTGAGCGGCTTTGGCTCACATGCAAAGTAGATGAAAGAAGAATAGCTGCGACGTGAGGAGATGAACATTTAGCAAGTGGAGTGTTCAGTTTGGACCGATTGCCACCGAGCGATTGCACGTATTCTGTGGATTGTAGAATGTCCTCATTGTGGAATCATTCCTGAGAATGGACCATTGTCGAACCACTACCCTCAAAACAAAGTCGAAGATGGTGTCCATTTTCATTTGACCACAGGCATGTGTTTCTGCCACTAACTGAAGTATTGACGCTTGAGTATTGCTTGGGAGCATGACTCACTTACAGAGTGCTCTCCTTTGATTGCATCCACACGAGCCACCGCAGGTATTTGATCCCTTTCGGAGGGCGGTGACACAGGCAGGGTCAGCGTTCATCTGGAGGATCGGAAGTTGGTTTAGTGGCGGAGCTGGGAAGCGGGCCGTTTCCAGTAATCGAGCTTTACAGGTTTCCTGTCCAAGGTGTTCTCCTTTTTGCATGCCTTTGTTCACAGTATACAGGTAGAGCCACAAGGACCTTATCATATTGGTCAATACCATCGCGCCATGGCTTTGTTGGATGAACCATGGAGCATGTGTTTTACCGGAGAACCGTGGATGAACTGCACCGGTGGGCCCTCAGGGGGTTCCCGAAGGCCTCCCGTGGGCGCGAAGCACCACCGGGCCAGCTGCTGAACCCCTTGGCTTCGAAGGCGCCGCGGATCGTCGTTTCAGATGTTTTGAACCCAGGGCCTCCAACCTAAGAGCTTCAGATGCGTTGAACATGGATGGAACAAGGCTCCATGTAGCTGGTGATTTTCCGTGATCAGGGTGCTGAGGTCTTCAGCCACCATAGTTTCCGAGGTGGGTTCATGGTGACGCATGGTCCTGTCGGGTCATCAGATGATTGTGTCATTCATGACATGGTCATGCCATCATCATGTGAATCATGTCATTGTCATCCATCAAGTCATCCTCACATTGTTTTAGTTTTCCTCGACTCAACTCCCATGCCATGTGGACCAAAGAGGATTCCTCGACTCGGTGGCCCTGCAATTGTGGAGGGTGGACAGACGTCCGGGCGACCGAATGCGAAGCCGTGTCCAAAGCTGTACTTAAACGTAAACAGCAAGCCCATCGTTGAATACTTGGAATGCCCAATAGACAGGGGACAAGAAGACAGGGATGCATATATATGTATATATATATATATGCGAGGAGCAAGGACGCTACTAGGGGCTCCTGGCATCGCTACTAGTAACAAATGCCTTACTACTAGGAGCAAGAAGCTACTAGGAACAAGTGCCACGCTAGTAGTAACAAGTGACTTACTCGATCGTTGATCCGGTCGTAGATCCGGTCTTTGATCCGGTCCCCGCTGTGATGGCGATGCAAATTCCGGTCTCCTCACCTGGAGGAGATGGTCATCAAATTCCTTGTGGCTTTGCATTCGGAAAAGAAACTTGGAGTTTCGGGTTGCTGTGTCTTTCCTGGCAATCGAAGCTGGAGCTGTAAACCCAAACCCTTCTGTTGTCGCATCTTCATTTGTAACAGATCTGCAGAACGTCCCAGGGCTCACTTGCCCAAGGGTGCGTGTATTATTTGCTCGTAAGGTCCTTACTGTATGACCTCTGAGTGGAGATTCACAGAGAGCTAAGGAAGATGTATCGCAGGCAAGTGGTGGCCGTTGTGGCTGTGCTGCTGCACGAGAAGCTTTGGCACCTGGTCGAAAGCTAGAGCTCTCTGCTCAGTTTGTTGGGTTTTCCAATTCGTTTAAACGGGTTTGGGATATTGAAATGAGTCTTGGAGAGACTAGAGCTGGGTGCAGTCTTCACTGGCGCATAGTCAGATTATCGGATATCCCTTTGATGACCGGACATGACATGACATGACCGGCCAACCAATCTGACCGGAAGAGGGTCCCACCCTTTCAGGCTCCAATCTTTGCTTCAGATCCCAGGCGCAGATAGCGGTTTCTGGGGCGTTTCTGGCCGTTGAAAGTGATTTTTGTGGCCTTTCGTGGTCAGAGTCTTTCAGATGCCAAATTGAAACATTGGGTTTCGTGATGTTTCCTTGGTGAGAGATGGAAGCACTATAGTGCACTTGAGGTTCTTCACATGTGGTAGTTTTTCAGAGTCCATGTGGAGTTTGGGGATCACCGGCTTGCGCAAATCCTTCAAGCCATTGTCGAACTCTCGCCGCTTGCGGAGCTCCCAAGCCTTCCCGCGATCCGCGCATATGCCGCATGCGCGGCAGAGGCTTTCCAGAGCACCTCCCGGAGGATTTGAGGATCATCGTAGAGGAAGAGCAGAAAGCGCAGGAGGAAGCGCTGCAAGAGGACAGACATTTCTTTTGGACGACCCTAGACGACCGTTGTTTTGGGGAGCTGGCCTCCAAACTAAGAGCGATGGCCTTTAACCCAATAGCAATGGCTTCCAACCTAATAGCAATGGCAATGGCCTGAAAAGGTCCTGCTTCGGTCTTTTATGGCCCAGAATCTGTGCATCCTGCTGAAAGCTTGAAAGAAGCAAGGGCGGAAAAAACGTGGGGGAAAGTTCTGGCTCGGATGCTTGCCCCAAAGGCCTTCAGGAGATTTAGTGTGATCTGAACAAAACACCATGATACATCAACAAACGATCAAATTGCATTGTTTCATATCAAGACTGGTTGAACTCCATGAACCAATCCGATGTATCTCGAAAATGGACAGCCCAGAAGCCTTCAAAGGAGGCATTTGCCAGGTTGCTTTGGCATTGCACATTTCATTGGTGCTTTTCGTTTGGAGAACATGCTTCAGGAGCCTGAAGAAGGGCCAGAGGCAGAGGAGACTGCTGTCTGTGGGCAGTTAGTGACTTTGGTGGGGCTTGGTGGTATTTGAGTTCCTGGATGGATATGCCCTTTTCTATAGATGTTGGCACTGGCGTAGAAGGTGTCCTTTCTTTAATGAACGTGAAACGGAGCGTTGAATTCCTTGAAGACCTTTCTCAGCATGTTTTTGTATGTTTCAATATAGAGCTGTTTTTTTGCTGAATTGAACATGCTCCAGACAGCTGACTCCATTGGTCGTCAAAAGAAACCTATTGCACGAGGTTGAGAGCTATGGTTGCTCTGGAGTCAATCTGAAGGATGTTCCACGTTTTGCACACCCTTCAGCGAGTCCCAAATCCCAGATGCTGTCCCATACTAGGAGTTATATATGCGTTTTGATTTGGTACTTGTTCAATACGGACATCTCAGCACGCACACACACACTATGGTTCCAATTTTGTTTAAACATATTTTCACAACCCCACTGGCCGGCGCCTGATCTTTGGTTTCACGGTCGTTTGTTGCATCGGCCACTGCTGAGGAGGCCGTTGGGCGGCGATCTTCCCGGCACGGGCCGAAGAAGTGGATAGGGAGAGGTTGAAAGGGGGGTTTCGCAAAATCTAGGAGCCCCTAGTAGCGTCCTTGCTCCTAGTAGCGATGCCAGGAGCCCCTAGTAGCGTCCTTGCTCCTAGTAGCGATGCCAGGAGCCCCTAGTAGCCTCCTTGCTCCTAGTAGCGATGCCCTTTGTTCCTAGTAGCGAACCTTGTTACTAGTACGGCCAGGTAGCGTCCTTGCTCCGTTTGTAGCGATGCCCTTTGCTCCTAGTAGCGATGCCTTTCACAGAATGTCTATGACCTTTTTTTTCCTCCTGGGAGAGGTTGTTCTTCGTGCTGAGAATTTTTTTTTTCGAACACAAGGTGATGTCAATGAAGACCTACAGCTTGATTGAAGAACGCCTCACAAAGAAGATCGATCAGTCAGAGTCTAGTGAAGAATTTCTATGCATACTCCTTGCTTTGCCACCTGACCACATGGCGACTGAATGAGGTCAAGGTCCAGAATCGTGCCCGCAGCTGTCAAGTTCCACTGAGTGAATCCAAAGAGAAACAAGGGCAATTGCTTGACAAAGGTCATGCCAAGGCCATGCTGACCCCACGGGTGTTGTTGGAGGAGAATTGAATTCGGGGCGTAGTATGGCAGCTATCAGCAATCCCTCCAGGCCAAAAAGATTCGAAAAGCATGTTGTTCACAAAATTGATGCACCCAAGCTGGGATGGCACATTGTTGTTTGCTTTGCGCTCATCCTGATGCTTGGAAAGGGGCCATGTTCAAGTCCAAGATGATTGGCTTTTATGTGGGGAAGACTTCTTCCGACACGTGATAGTGAGATGAGAAACCACCAGAAAGCTGTGGGCACCGGGGCGTTCAACTAGTTAGGTCGTTGCCTTCAACGCATCAGAAACCTACCAAACCGTTTACCAAGCAGAGAGGCATGTAAACTTACCAAGCAGAAGCAGCAGAGGTGTTTTTCAAAGGGCAGAACTAGGAACAAGAAGCTACTAGTAGCTCCTGGCATCGCTACTAGTAGCTCTGGTCCCATCGCAGCGTCTCAACACGATGAGCGCCGAGCCTTTGGTACAGCCGAACCTCGCACGGTCGCAGTCATGGCCAGAGAAGCTGCTAGGCGGAGAATTGAGAGTCGACTGAGTCGACCAAAGAAAATCCTTGGATACGGCAAGGAAGGTATATCATGGTATATCAAGTACATTCTATTTGTGAACTCCGTTTACAATGGTGGGATAGTTTGCCACCAGCGTGTTTGGCTTCTGACAGGTAGAAGCTAGATGAAGTCAGAGGTTCAATGGAGTCCACAATCCAAATCCAGCCTTATGCAGACGCATTTGGTTGTAGAGCTCCTTGATGCTCCTTGTTGGAGTAGTTGATAACTTTACTGACAATTGTGAACTACTGTATGAACTATGTAATACTGTAAATCCTGTTTCTGGAAGGCCGTGACTCTTCTACCTGTGAACAGCCAAGGCTCGTGGACGAGATGACGAAGACCCGAGAGCTGCCGACGGCCGAGGAGGGTGGCGCACGCGCACGGCGGACGGACAGCCTGGGGTGGCGCACGATGTGAGAAAGCCACCGGGAGATGGCCTCCAGCCTAATAGCTTCTTGTTACTAATAGTAATTAATGGCTTCCAATCTAATAGCAATGGTCTCCAGAAAGCCACCGAGAGAGCCGAGCGAGCAAGTGTTGGATGAAAGACTATTCAGATGGCTGCGAGGGGGTTGTTTGCCATTCTCATCCAGTTCATCCAGATATAGGAGATTCTTGTTGACTTGTCCTGACTCAGAATTCCTTCCAAGATGTCAAAGAGCCGACACGTTGGACCACGGGCCAAAGATGGTCAAGCACCACATTGAAAGGCACATCGATCATATCTCTTCATATAGCTTTGGGTCAAAACCCAGAGCTGTAGATGTAGGTTGACCTCCTTAGTAGTCCATTCCGTTCATTTTCCGTGGTCCGTGGTCAATCTCCGGTTTTGATCCACAGCCATATCTCTTCATATCACACCGAAGTCTTCACTATGGACTATGGAGTCTTCGCAGCGCATAATTGCGCTGGAGGATGGGGAGTTGGAGCGCCGGCTGAACGCCACAGAGCTGACGTTGCTGGGCATCGGCGCCTGCATCGGTGCCGGGATCTTCGTGCCCTCCCAACCGATTGGCGGATGTGCGTGACGGATATACTGATTTCAAAACAAAACGATTCCCATCACTGTGTAATGTCCTTCAGAAACAGAAGCAGAAGGAGGGGGTACTGTCATGTAGGAGGAATCTGTTCTGTAGTGATGGTGCAACTTTGTGCTTTGGAAGAGTTTGTTCTTCGTCTTGTGTTGGGTTGCACCCCAGATTGAAACCTCCAGTAGACTGTCGTTATGCGAACCGAAGATACAGTTCAGCAGAAGCTGCAACACGACATTCTGGCAACGAGAAAGGACGTGAATAACGGAAGGAGCAGACAAAGTTCTAAGGAAAAATCATGCAAATAGAACAAAAAAACTGTCAGGGAAGGCAAGCAACTGCGTAAAGACAACTGTGCAGGCAGAGCCTGAAAGTCTCGAAAAAAATAAACAAACCTGTGGAAGCATTCAACACCATAATATTACTATTACTATAGTACTCGTAGCTTCTAAGGTGCCTTACTACTAGAAGCAAGAAGCTACTAGTAGCTCCTGGCATCACTACTAGGAGCAAATAGCTACTAGTAACAAGGGCATCGCTAGTAGAAGCAAGGGCATCGCTATTAGTGGCTAGTTTGCTACTACTAGCTATAGAAGCTACTAGTAACAAGTGCATCGCTTCTAGTAACAAGTGCCTTACTATAGTAGTAACAAGAAGCTACTAGTTACTAGTAGTGGCTATAGAAGCTAAGGTGCTCACAGGTGCTGAAGCTCGCATCGCTGGGCCCTCTGTGTCTCGGATGCGAACGGCGTGTGAGACCCATCGGACGGGCACTGTGAGACCCACGCAGTGTGAGAAAGCTCTTTAAAGACTGGTGTGAGGATGGCAAGACCATGCCACCTCCCACAAACTACTCCTTATGGCGATTGGCATGGTCTTTCCATGTCTTTCCGTTGTTTTCAGGTCGCGGTGTCCTTCCTACTGGCAGGGCTCAGTAGCATCTTCAACGGGCTGTGCTTTGCTGAGCTGGCCACGAGATTACCCGTCTCCGGGTCCTCTTACCTCTATGTGTATTGTACCTTGGTGAATTGATTGGGTGGAAAGAACAGTGCCGTTTGGTGATGTTAGGAGATAAAAAAATGCAACTACAGTACGGGTTTCCGGTGATTTTGTCTTCTGATCTTAGAACATTTTTTCACCAGACGGTGGTAAACACAGCAGTATACCATGTTGGCAACCTTGTGCTTTTTACTTGATGTTGAAGCCGATGTTGATTAAGCACATCGAATTAGACAAGCGTTCAGTCATTGTTTTGAAGTTTTTGTGTGGGATCTCGCTCTTGCTTTTGTGCAAGTGTTGCTGAGGCATGTTTGGCGAGTTGCCTGCGTTGATGATGGTGGGGAAGCTGGGGTAAGAGCCGCATGGTCGACCAAGAGACCCACTCTTGGCCTCCAACCTACTAGCGATGGCCTCCAACCCACCGTATGCAGAGGCATCGCTACTAGGAACAAGGACGCTACTAGGGGCCAGTGTCACTAGCAGTCGCTAGCTGCTAGCTCAAGCTGCTAGGGTCCACAGGATTTGGCGCATCTTCCACAATCCCGTTTGGGCTGCTTTGTTTGGTTCGGAAGAGGATAGATGATCCACATGATCCAGCGTGATCCAGCTTTGGAATTCACCGCCTCACCGCCACACAGGGAGTTCCGACCTCACTCCTTTAGTCCCCGGGTGCCAGGTGGTGAACCAGCTTGTGGACTACCACATCGGAGCGGCCACCTTGTCACGCAGCCCCTGGGCAGAGTCCAGGTCGCAGACCCCGTCGCATGAAGGATCGAAAATAGACCCCGTCACATGGCACCGACAAGGCTTTTTTTTACACGTTTACCCACATATATTAGGATGATCTCTTTCTTCATCTACATGGAACATCTATGGATAGAGGCCAGATATGGAAACATATACATACATGAAGAGTATCTAAAAAGACCCTGTAGGACTTGCAAGACTTTAAGCGATCCGAGTCTTGTTTTGGATCACCAGGTTTGGTCGCCTATCTGGCCGAAGCACTGAGTCGTGCCCTCAGTGTCCCAGGGGTGCTGGCTTCACGCGAAGGAGGAGTCCAGATCTTTTGGTAGGGTGTTTGCATGTGTTTGCAGTTTGTGTGGCCATGGTTGCTGGGGAGTTGGTTCAAAGCCCTTGTGCTGTATCAACTGAGGTGGGCCATTCGTTTATGACTCCAAAGTACGGACCAAGTATGGCGACCCCTTTACTGTCTTTAATGTTCAATTATGATTACAGTAGTCACGGGAGTAAGTACAGGAGTACCCTAAACAAGTGCAAGAGTGAGAATCAATATGAATCAAATAATTTGTTAGGGGAATCAAAAGGAATCAAAAGGGAGTTAACCGGGGTCAATAGGAGTCAAAGTGATGTAAAGGGAAATTAACAGGAATCACGTGGAATTGAAAGGTGAATCAAAAAGAATCAATCTCTATATATTTATATATTATATATGTATAATTCCACGGACTGCCTGTCCATGAACTGAAATGTAAAAAGGTCTAAAGGTTTCACCACTCCACAAAGTGCGCAAAGTGGAAAACACAGAACTCAGCTGGTTCATGGACGGATGGCCCACAGCTCCACCCATGAACTGGCTCATGCCTGTAAGGACACTGCTAGCCACGCGCCCACTGTTGAGTTGTACAGCCCCAAGCCATCGCTTAAGGTGAAAAATGTATCAACAAAGCATCTTTTGAAAACTGGCGTGCACTGAGAATTTGTACGTTGAATGTGTGGGGCCACGGGGTTTTAGAAGATATACCGTGTTTCAAGATTATCAACGCTTCCTCACAAAAAACACTCTAAACGACAAATCCACTTCAATGCAATTCTTCAATCGATCGTCCACGCCTGTCGCTTCCCTCCCAAGTCGAATTTCGGGCCAAGGCCAAATGGATGTGGACGCTTGGCTCAATGTCAAGGCAGGCCGGACAAATGGGGCCCATACAGCAAGAGCCAAAGGAACAGCAGTTTGGAAGGTTGATGCGAGAACCATCAACCCCATGGAAGCTGTTGTTTTTGTTCTTGCTATGTTCACAAGCCTGTTGCTTGTAATAGTATTAATAATTACGGCTTGTATGTATATACATGAGCAACCATTTGTTTCATTCTTGACTACAGTAGGACAAAACACATGTTTTAAGTCCAACATCAGTATTCGCCGGTGATCGAGATAGGGCCCCCACGTAGACGAGATACTCTTTTTTGGATGACTAAAGTAGTCTGCTATCAACATAATCTGTACGAAATACTGTGACTCGACCTCCCACTTAAATAGTCTAGATGAGATAGGGCGACAGTTGAGTGTGGTAATCAATAAACGCCGGCGCTCACATACATCTCAAAGAAACAACAATTAGTCCCCAGATGTGAAAACATCCTAGACTGCAGCCTGCAATCGTAGGCACCCTAGCAGGGCAAATAGCAACTGTGCAGCAGTGCTGAAGTAGATGGAATGCCGCTGATCTCAATGTGGCGTGGAAAAAGGCTGCAAAACAAGTACTACATCCCCCTGTTGTGCCGGTGCCAACTGTTTGGTTCTTTATTTCAAATCCTGTGTTTAGATGTCAGTTTCCACCATGAGTGCTGGATCTACCTGCTCCAGTACCTGCTCCCTATTCTGGACCAACGATTTTGATGATGACACCGTTTTGAATGATGGTGGAGCCACAAAAGGCGTCACTAAATGGTGAACCGTTTTGGCACCCATTGGTCGCCCCAGGATCTAGGCGACTGCTTCTCCGGCTGCCAGCCCTTTGAGGGTGTGCTTCGGCGATTGACAGCTGTCAAGCAGTTTTTTCCTTGTTGGAATCATCCAGGAACGAGAACAAAGAATGAAAATATATTCAGATCCAATCTGTTGAGGTAAGAACTCTACAATTTTTTTGATGTTTGTATGGGCACGTTCTTCTAAAGGGGGGCAGTCTCGCATTTCAGATAGAGGAGAGAACAATTGTGGCCTAGTCGAGCCCCATTCGCCTCGTGAGGCCCCATGGTTCTCTTTATCCCTTGGAGCCCCACTGCAACTTGGCGGTGTCCGTGGGCCCTTTTTTGGCGATATGGCAACATGATAGGTGTGGAGTGTTTACAGGATTAGGTTGGAGGCCACGCCCGAAATGGCCGCCCGCTCAGCACGAGGATGTTGTTCCTCGTCACCTGGGTGGTGTCCCGGGGCGCCGAGACCAATGCCGTGGTCACCTCGGTGGTCACTGTGGCGCCTCGGTGTCAGTGCAGGTCATGTTACTAGTAGCGTCCTTGCTCCTAGTAGCGTGGCACTTGTTACTACTAGTAAGGCACTTGTTCCTAGTAGCTTCTTGTTACTACTAGTAAGACCAGGAGCCCCGGGTAGCGTCCTTGCTCCTAGTAGTACGGCCAGGAGCCCCTAGTAGCGTCCTTGTTCCTATAGTAGCGATGCCAGGAGCCCCTAGTAGCTTCTTGTTACTAGTAGCTAGTCTGCTTTTTTTGGAGGTTCCTGTGAGGGCTGGTGCATCTTTTTCAGTCCATTGTGTTGCGGTGGGTGAAGCTGTGAGTTTGTTCATCGAACTTCGCGGTCGGTGGACTGCTGAGGTCAAGATTTGCGTAGTGATCTTGGTGATTGTCATCGGTTGGCAAAAGATGCAGATGAGCTTCTCGACGAGTCTTTTTGGTCTCTAACTGCTTTGCCTTCCACCTGCACATTCAGAGGGAGCACTTCAGCTTTTGATCAAAGATCAAGCCAGCCCCTGGATTTCATGTATATCTGTATGTTGATGATGACCTGAAAGTAAGTGATGAAACGCACTGAAGCCCCTGAAGCATCTCTTCTGAACATCTACTGCACCATACTGCACCTCTGCCCCAGCAGGTGGTGCAAAATCACAAGACATCCATACGGGCCATTTTCCAAAAGCACATGCTGGCACATTCCATGGCACATGTTTCATGAGACGGACAAATTACAGAAACTGACTTCGGACGCTCTCACCTGCTCCTCGATGGTTGGGAGTGGGCTCGCAGGTTACCTCCATCCCTTCTTTCCGTATGGCCTTGGCGCCACAATCCAATCCGCAGCTACCTTGAGTTATGCCTTCATCGGATATGACGTGAGCCTTAGTGATTGTTATTTGTGGTGAGGGATGTGGCACGCACAGCAATATGTAGATGATTTGTCACAAGTACAACGGGATTCACGAGAAATTGTGACATGAAGTCTTTGATTCTCGGGTGGTTTGAAGGTTTTCAACACTTGAGTGATTTTTGTCTCGTTTTGTGAGCACCCGCGTCTTCTTAACTGTGACCCCCCCTTCGGGCCGTGTCCCTAAGAATTCATCAATAATTAGAATGCTTTCAGAACAAGTGCATCGCTTCTTGTAACAAGTGCCTTACTAGTAGTAACAAGTGCATCGCTAGTAGTAACAAGAAACTATTAGATTAAATTTTAACTATAATTAGAATGCTTTCCGACCTTCAGGCCACTGTTCACAGCTCTCCACCCTTCGGGCCCTGGCATCCGTCACACCGAGGATAGCAAACGCCGCTGAAGAGTGCCAGGAGCCCTCCAGGGATTTGCCTCGGGCGATGATCAGCGCGCTGTTGACCTGTGCCTTTCTCTATGTTGCTTGGACTGGACATTGGGGAAATCGGAGCATGCACAGTTCCTGAAGAGTGAACCGCGTATGGGGTCTTTCAGGGGTGGAGCTTGCCCAAGTCCTGTGGATGTTGCGGCACCTGTTACTACTAGCTTCTTGTTACTACTAGTAAGGCACTTGTTACTAGTAGCGTGGCACTTGTTACTACTAGCGTGGCACTTGTTACTATCAATTCGGAGCTTAAAGCACAAACTCCAAACCGTTGGTTCTGGATCTTTTGGGATGTCCTTCAGGCGGTGCTGTAGGCTAAAGCTGCGGATATTTACGTTACTACACACAGCACGCAGTGTGTTGAAAACGGCTGGTCTAAGTCTTCTATAGTTTGTCAGGCCATTTCGTCATTGTGGTAAGCTACCTCAAAGAATTTGCAGCACCTCACCTTCAGTTCTCCTAAGGCATCCTAGGACCCCACGGTTTGGGACTTGCAAGCAATTCACCTCACCGCACCCCCCTCCTGGCACACGTTGCAATGGTGAGAAGTCTTCCGAGTGTTCTTCAAATTCCTGCTGTTGACATACCACTCGAGATGATGTTCCTACCCAGACTTTGGACGCCAGTTGAGGTCTGTGTATGCTTGGTGCTTTGCGGGATGCAGGTGTGAACTTGAAGAGAAAGACAGGAGGGAAAAAACCAGTGACTTCCCACAATTATCATTTCTGACTTACGCAGAACCGCAGAATCTTGGTGTTCAGTTGGTGATGTTATATGTATTGTATGTTTTGCCCATTCCTACTTAATTGGGTAGGTGCCTATACTTCATTAAGTAAGGGCGATGTTCGTTACTGGCTACTATTTAGCAACTACCTACTGGACGCAGGATAGCTCACACTCGCACTATATAATGATTTAGTGTTCCTAGATTTTTGGGCAAAGGTAACTTCTGACATCCAAACCGTGTTGCTTGTGAGTAGTAGTCCGGATGTAATTGTCATCAAAGAACATTTGTCCTATTCGTGCTGGGAGATCACCCTTGCTTCAGGATGTTCAATGCAGACCAGCATTGGGCTACCATGGGCAACCCCGACAGGTCTACTCCTCCATCGACACATCGGCACCTGTCGCGAGCACCTTCACAGCAGCAGGCCCCGAACGCGGCGCCTGTGCGACGGGTCCCTCGGGCGCTCTGTGAGCCGATGGGAGGGAGCAGGGTGGAGAGCGTTCCGGAGCGTCCAAGCAGGAGCTATGGACCAGGTGAGCGGAAATGACGTGAAATTATGCAAGATCAAGGGGCAAGTTTGCAGTCGGTATAGAGCACAGATTCTAAGGAGGAACAGCAGGAAAGAGCGCAAGTACTTCGATGTGGTGCGCAAATCTATCTCCAAGACATGGTCCATATGAGGAAGCAGGTGTGAACAAAAAGAACTCAAACATAAATCTTTGACCATGTTGAACGTGTCTAGCATCATGGGACCATGTCAAAATGCAGTTTTGTCAGTGTACCAAGCATGAAGCCGACTTGCTCTCGTTGGCTCTTGACTTGCTCTTGCTCTTGCGAGGCCTCAATTGGGTGGTGACTGTGGTGGATGTCGGTAGCTTTGCAGGGATGGTCACAGGCGAGCAGAGCCGCCTTCAAACTTGGACCGCAGGACGCTACTAGCTACTAGTTAGCTACTACCTACGGGACGCAGGATAGCTCACGCTGCCTCAAGGAAGCTGCCCTAAAGGCGGCGGGGCCGAGCTTCCTTGAAGCGCTCGCGTTAATCATTAAATGCTTGGCTTTGGTTTTTAGATTTGGGAAACTTAGCTTGGCAGGTCTTCTGGCTGGGATCTATGGGCAGAGCCGCATCTACTTTGTGCCTTGGAACGAGTGGTTCCCAGTGCTTGTTGATTCGGAAAGGAGTGAGTTCTAGGAACAAGTGCCACGCTAGTAGTAACAAGTGCCTTACTAGTAGT